CAAGTCTCCATCAACTTCCGCAAAAGTCCGTTTTTCCTCCCTGAACTCCAAAGCTGGGCAAAACACCTCCTCGACTTTTAAAACCGTTCATCTTACCTCCCTGATCCGGTTATAATTGGTTTTGAAGGCGGTTTTGTCTTTTTTTCTTTTTTATTTATTTCGGCTGAATCTTTGAAAAAATCACAGAAAAATCCAATTTTGTTGGATTTTTATGGTGGGCTAATTATTGTATGCTTAAACTGTAGTAAAAATTTCATACTCATTGGATCATGTACAACTTGTGTTGTGACGATCATTGTAATACCCATGTTTTTGCCATTGTTGTTACATCTTTTTTACGAAGATATGTTCATAAAAGATTTGGCTTATATAACACTAAGATTTAAATCAGTAGCAGCCTATTAATTGTCAATATTGCACTCATAATTTTTCATTTCCTTGGGGCATTCCAGAGTTTAGAGTAATCTTTTGAGTTTACATCTAAATTTTCCACCTGCTAACTCGTCGAAGACATTTGGTAAGTTACCTAGCATCATCATTAATTAAATGGACTAAAATAACCCCAAAATATGCATCCAAATCATTTGTGTTCTCTGTTGTAAAAATCATCCCAATCTAAATTATCCATTTATGTCTTATTTATATAAGAAAAACTAGCTCAAGGTATGTGGTATTTTGGGTAAACTCTTTTTTACACCAACGAGGGGTAATTTGTAAGTATGTGGCGAGAGCTTGGTTATCTACGCTCTACGGTCTTTCAGTAAGGAAGCGCCGAGGAATGGAAAGAAAAACAGAGAAAGCAGTGCAAGTTGTGCGGGAGGTCAACTCCGATTGTCAACGGAAGAGCAAGTTAAGCTTTTTGTGACCTTTGTTTATTTTTGGACTAGGCACTTATTAGAGCAACAGGAGTACTCTCTCTATTTCCAAACTGTTAGATATTTTGACTTTTCTAGATACATTGTGCTTATTATGCATCTAAATGCATAATAGAAATTATATAAAAAAATCAAAACGTCTTAAGATGAAGGGAGCAAAATCAAAGGCGAATTGGTACAAGTTTGTTCAGAATGAGAGGCGATTTTTAGTTAGTACGATGCCAATGCAAGGTGATTGTTGACTTTTCTATTATGTACTGTAGCAATAGGAAAGGGGAATAGGAAAGGGGAACGGCTGAGGGACAGCTATGATATTGGTTGGGACGGTGACAGTCGCACATGCATGGATCGTTTGATGCGGACTGGACCACATACATGTGCCGATCCATGTAGATGTAGGTACGCGCACAGCACAGCTCATCCACTGCATCCAGCATGCAGCTACCAAGTACCCTTCCGGTGTAGGAGTAGTAAATTGTTAGTCGTTGTATAATTTAGAATAGAGAGAGTAGTCAGTCTCCAACAATGATTGTATTGTATGATGTTAGTAGAGAAGGAAGGTGTACAGCGCTTGCTTGCGTTGCGTGTTGCTATATGCTGTTGGTAGGCAATGCAAGTCAATCCATCGGCATTGCAAGGCAATTCAGGCTCACGAATCAATCTGTAACCGCCTGTTACAGCAATAGCTGGAGCGTAGCTAACACAAGAGTACTGTAACTGTACCTGCACGTACGTACAGACAAAGAGCAATGAATTGTACTCCTACATTGTGTATACGGTTTCATGTGTAGAGGGATCTCGAATATCCAATGAATCAATGATGCATCGACGGATGATCTGCCATGACTGAATTTTGAGTCCCAGGCGATCCCATCATTGGAAATTTGGAATGGAATGGGGATGGATGGGAGGATACTCGCTTCACAGCCATGCCATTGCCATCCCGCATCCCATCCCATATATTGATTGATTCATTGATGATTGATCTCATATTGTCATATATGTATATATACGATGATCCACAAAATGAAGAAAAGAAGAAAATAACAAAGATAATCAATACACAGAAGAGAAGAGAAAAGAAAGAATTGGCAAAAATAATTAAATAAATACTACTCCATTACAGTACAATTGGGAGATGCATGGCCATGGTGATGTCCGAGGAAGGACATTATAGAGTAGAGTATGGTTTCCTGTGTTGAGCAGCTGAGGACCGGACGAAGAAGAATGAAGATTGAAGATGATGAAGAAGAAGAAGAAGGAGAAGGAACGTGGCCGATATATTCATGAGCTTAATTTAATTATGAGTAGTGGCAGGCCTTCTCGAGCGAGATTGGCTTGTTCTGCTTGCTGGGGTTCATGAGCACCCTGCACTCGACGGCGAGCGTGAACTTGGGCTTCACCAGCGCGCCCAGCACGTAGGCCCGCGAGTGCAGCGTCGTCCTCAGCACCATGGGCACCGACGCCACCGTGGTGCTCGCCTGCGCCCCCTTGCCGCCGGCCCCCGGCGCCGCCGTCAGCGTCGGCCCGCCGCCGTACAGCGGCACTTTGTTCCCGACCACGGCGACGCTCACCGTGCGGCTGCTGCTGCGAGCCTGGTAGAACTTGTTGAGCTGCACAAGACAGATTAATTATGGATGAATGGCATGGCATGTGCAAATAAAAAGAAAAATTTTGAATCCATCTTGGATCCAAATTTCGGAAATCTGGTGCAAGATCGATGGGGGGTTCACTTACGTCTCCGGACGCGAGCGTGAGCTGGCTGTAGGAGAGCTGGAACGGGTCGGCGGTGACGTGGATCCCGAAGAAGGTGCCCTTGTTGCGGTAGGTGAACTTGACGGTGGAGTTGGTGGTGGCCATGTCGGTGGGCACGAGCGACGCGTCGGTGCCGGCCTGGATGATGAAGTTGTCGAAGCGGATGCTCTTCATCACGATGTGGGGCTTCTGCGACCTGCTGGCGCCCCACAGCACGAGCGCGAAGAAGGAGAAGAGCGCCACGAAGCCGAGCACGAAGACGAGGAAGTAGTAGCACTTGCGGGGCACGATCCGGGTGTGCTCCTCCTCGTCGTCCAGGAAGCCCTCCTCCTCGATCACGCCGATCTCCTGCCACCCCTTGCCGCCCGGCGCGCCCTTGTTGCTGCTGCCGTGTCCCTTGTCGGCCTTGCGCTTGTGGTGCCCCGAGAAGCGGCTGGAGGAGGAGTCCCTGCCCACGGACGAGTGCGAGTGCCGCGGCGACGCCATGGGGCTCAGCGCCGGGGTGGAGTGCACTGAGGTGGCTGTCTTCGTCTCGCCGTCGTGGGAGTCCCGGGACGGGCTCTGCACGTAGTACACGGCCCCGCGGGTCCGTGGCGGCGACCGCGGCGGCGACGACGGCGCCAGGCTCGTCACCTCCGAGTCCGTCTTGGCGTGCGGCATCCTGCTTGCCTGTAGCCCTGTACCAGAGGTAGCTGCTGGGATGCAATGCAACTGAAGCTCAGGCAACAATGGCAGAAGCTGAAGCTCCTGCCTGCCTGCCTGCCTTTGTGCTTGATCTGGCTGCTGCTTGGGGTGGCGTTAGCTAACTCCTCCAACTAGGACTAGGAGAGGAGTATTATTAACCAGTAGGTGGAGTAATAAGCGGGATCGGCAAGGCGTACGCGGATGGATTGGATTATTAAAGAAAGAGAGAAAGAAAGCAAAGACAATATGGCAGGCAGGAGAAAGGGCGAAAGCGAGTGTTAGTTGGCCCCACTGAAATCGTCGGTGGAGTGAGGAGAGCAGCTACCAAGGAAGCTGCACGGATCGGGATCACTTCACTGGCAGTACAAGCAGCTAGGAGCAGAGTGAGCGAGTGATATGCATCCACTGCTCGGCGTTTCGGCAACCATCACCAGCAGCATGTGTGCCGGATTCGTCGGTTGCGAGACAGACTAGCCTCGCCAGTTCATCTGCGGCTGGCTGCCCAGTCCTCCTGTGTCTGTCGGTCCAGCAAAGCCACCACCACCCACCTGCCAGCCACCTTCTATCCACCCGACCCGCTTGGGTTTTGCATCTTTTCTCTCCCTCTCTACTCCGGAACAGGAACTGTACATTTGGTCATCAGTTTACAAAAAAATCAGACTCGCCTTACTACCTGGACTATCCGCATTTCGGTTGAAAGAATTCACCTGTAAAATATAGACCTGCATTTCCTTTTCTTTTCTATTTCTACCTATATGCAAATGCAGCTATATGTCTTCAGATTTTGTCCGTTCCATATATGCCATTTTGGAACGGTTTAAATGTCTCTGAATTTACACATGGTTGTTAGTCAACTGAAGTGAACATGGTTGTTAGTCAACTGAAGCAATTTACAGATCCCAGTCAAAACTCAAAACTCGAGAGGGACATGACCAACAACCACATGGAACATGTGTTGCTCATTCACTGCCACTTGTTCCTTCCAATCACCACTTCACAATTCCTTTTTCTTACAAAACAAAACCCCCAAAAAAAAAATACTGCACCTACCGCTTCCCACCCACACAGACACATGAAATAATATAACAAGTTAACAACCAAACAAATAAAAAAGCAGCAATCACCAACAAGTTGCCTACGATGATGCATGGAATCTCTCCCATCCCCACGTGCCCCAACACGCACTACACCCATTCACCGACACAAAAAAAACCGCCAATAAAACGAGATTTATCCAACTGCAATCAGGGGGCAAGAAAAGAAACCACACCCGCATGCCAATACCACAAACAGTTGAGTAAAGAGTGCAAAAACCTTGATGCCTTGCCTTCTCAAACAGTCTCTGCAAAACCATACAATACAGACGTGCATTCGTCTGGTTCCACTTCCATCCAGCAGGATCAACCAGTAGCTTTCGCTCCCAGACCCAGCTTCTGACTGACTTCGCCTCAGCTAGCATACATATTACACTACTTCTGTTTTTCTTGTTGAGATCCTGCCACATGCCAACTAGTTGCCTTTACATCACACAAGCTAGTTCCTGTGGCAAATGTTGCTGCCTCAAAACTGAATTCTCACCAGCAGACTGCAAGTGCATCATGTACTCCCACCACCGACACATACCCTGACATTATCATGAGCAGGCCAACATTTTTGCGGCCGTGTCCAAACAGAAAGCACTCTTCATCACAGGGTTTCTGGGGGAGATTGAGTCTGCCCACTCTCAAGCAGCATGCTGCGGCTGCAGTAAGACCTGGTCGTGCTCGACGAGGAATGCAGGGACCTCATGTCACCGCTGTAAGGGACCAGCTCGTTCCGGTGATGGGTGCCACACTTGCTGCTCCTGGGATAAAAGCCCCCCTCTGCGTCTTCCATGCCCTCGCCAAAGCTGCCGTTCCCCGGATCCAGCCTCTCCGAGAGCATCCTCAAAACCTGCCTGATGGATGGCCTCTGCCGCCCTTCTCTCTGGGTGCACCATTGCACAATGCCGACCACGAGATGCAGCTGGTCCACGTCAACAGCAGCCCTGATCCTTGGGTCTACAATTTCAGGAGAGATCACTCCAGACGAAAGGTGCATCTGTGCCCACTCAACCAAGTTCTTGTTGTCTTGTATTGCTCTCCGTCCAGTCACAAGCTCCAAAAGAAGCACGCCGTAGCTGTATATATCACTCTTCTCTGTCAACTCTTGAGTAACCACATATTCGGGGTCCATGTACCCTGCAGTTGATTCATTATAAGAGATAGATGAGTGAGCTTATCAGTTATCAATAGCTAGTCTGCAGCCTTTCCTGGATGTGTGTTCACTAAAGTACTGAAGTCATAGTGGTAAGGAGTACTTATTTTTCACCTAAGCTGCAATGCATTACCTATCAACGCTTTTCCATTTCTTATGTAGATTTTGAGGACAACTAACTGAGCAAGAAAGTAAACTGTTCTGTTCTATAGTTTCTCTAACTGATTCACATTGCAAGAGCTCACCTGGGGTTCCTCGTATATCCGTGTTCACAGCTTCAAAGCTGATCGCTCCAGTTCTTGATGCATGTGCAAGGCCAAAATCAGCAACCTAAGTAGAAGAGTGAGGAAAACTTCAGCAAGCATTAACCATGACTTATAAAGGTTACAACGGTGCATCACAAGACCATACCTTTGCAACAAAATGCTCATCCAAAAGAATATTGCTCGATTTGATGTCTCTATGGCAGAGTGGAGGGTTACAAAAGAAATGGAGATACTCCTGAAACAAGAGGACATGAAAATAACCCAAAAAAATGCAGTGCAACTGTGTAATTCATATAAAATGAAGTTGTTCACACACAATCATTTATAAAAGGAACCAATGAAACGTAGCTCACAGAACTCCAGGATAGAATGCATGATGCAGGCTAGCAGTTCCAACTGTGAAGCATGAAGTATGGTCCAAGGAAGTCTCAAAAAGACAAATAGAGTCGTAAATGCAGCACTAGTAAATGCTATCATCCCTTCAATACCACAAAACTACCCTTATACTTCTTCAGAACCTCAGGGAAAACACAATAGCTTAAAATAATATTGCAGCAGAGCACATATATGAGCTGGAAAATATGTGTCTATGATTCTATTCAGCAACCTTACATTGATATAACCATAAAAGATGTGCATGTCCCATATTAGTTAAGTACCAGCAATATTTTCCCGAGTCATATAAGGATGGCTAACTTTCAGAAGGGAGGGGGAGCTATTGGTTCCAGTTCAGGAGATAGCTATGGAGGTCGTGCCAGCAACGGGTGGCGATTTAGTCATAGGATAAGTGGCTAAGCCTAGTGCCACTTTTGTTATCTCATTCAAATGAAACCTTGTAATAATTAACTGGAACTGTATCCATCAGATGATTTAAAAAGGCTGAACTCGTCTTCCATTTTTTTTTAAAGATTGGCCAATACTAATTTCTGAATGCTACTGGAGTGTCACAGCTAGTATTATGGATCAAACCAGTTTTTTTTTTTTTTTGAGGAGGGGGGGAGGCAGCACTATCACATAACAGTGACAATTATTGATTCAATTTTCAAAACAAGACTTCAAGACAAGGGCCATTCTTTGCGAAGGGGTGCAAAATGTTGACCTACGGGATCACCGGCTGACAACAGTGAACTAGTCTCCAGACCACTAGTCTCAGACCCCTAGCCTCCAGACCACTAGTCGTGCCGACCACCGTACCGGCTTTGTCCGTACCCACACACTACGGATCGAGCTAGAAAAAGAAGGGAGAACAGAGCAAGCACGCACAATACAAGACAACAACGTTGGCCGAGGCCCTGTCTGTGTGATGGCAAATCTGAGCTCTCTTTACTGAGTTGCCTTGGTGCCCTATTTATACAATTCTATCTATCTAACTAAAGTACATCGCACATGTCTGTAATAAATAACTAGATAAGCATCTGAGGGGATGACTTCTGCTACCAAGCCGTGACGCGTTGCCTCTGATCTGCAGGTGAGCCGTCTGGGCTTTACACACCGCAGCCGCTACATTATCACGTGCCGGGGGCAAAGTCGGCGCCGCCTTCTCTCTGCTTGTGTTCACACAAGGTGGCGATAAATTAGCTAACAATCTTCCCCTAATCTCATCGCTAACCTTGCACCCTCCATGCCGATCATCTCCTTGACTCCGTGAGTCGAAGTCGTCCGAAAGCGGCTTGGTGAGGACGTCCGCAAGTTGCCGACCGATTGCGACAAACTTGATGACGATCGCCCTCCATCAACACGATCCACGAGGAAGTGGAACTTCACGTCGATGTGTTTACTCCGGTCGCGTAACCGGATTCTTCGCGAGGGCGATGGTGGGTGGTTGTCCACCATCGGTGCGGTGGGTGAGCTTCCACGCCGGTTAGCTTCGCCCGGTAATTGCGCGTAAAGCACACAACTTGGCACGCCATTGTGGCGCCGCGCACGTACTCTTCCTCGCATGCGTAGATAGCGCTACCACCTTTTGTTTCAGCCGACGACCATGAAATTGGGGCTGACCCGAGGAAGACGAGTATGCGGAGGTGCTCCGTCGTCCGTCGATGTCCCCGCCATGTTCGCATCATTGAACACCGTGAGCCGCATGACCTACTTCCCCGGTCTTTGGAAAGATGATTCCTTGATTCACCGTCCCCTTGACGTAGCGTAGTAGCCGTTTCACCGCATGACCCGGTGATCCTCTACGGGATCCTCCATGAAGCGATCGACGTAGCCCACGGCGAACGCAATGTCCGCCTTGTGTGGACTAGGTAGCGCAGAGCCACCGACGATGCTCCGGTGAGAGTGTTGCATCCACTTTCGCCCCGCGGTGTTGTCCTTTGTCGACTTCACCGCTCCTCCATCAGAGTCACGTATGGCTTGCACTCCACCATGCCGCTCCTCTCCAACAGTTTGGAGGCGTACGCGCTCTGCCCGAGCGTGAGTTCCTCCTTCCCTTGCCTCACCTCGATGCCGAGGTAGTAGGAGTGCGCCGAGATCGCTTATTCGAAAACGAGCTGCCATCTCGCGCTTGAAGCTGTTGAGGTCCTCCGTGCGTCTGCGCCGGTGGCGATTAAGTCATCCACATACACGCCGACCACGAGCTCTTCCTTCCCCGTCGTCGCGTGTAGAGCGCGTGTTTCGATTCGCGCACCTCTGAACCCAAGCTCGCCCGGCGTGGTGTCAAGCTTGGCGTTCCATGCTCGAGGGCTTGCCGCGGACCGTAGAGCGCTTATGCGATCGGAGCACCTCGTGCTCCTCTCCCTTGACAATGAACCACGGAGGTTGCTCGACGAAGATGTTTTCGCTTGACCTTCGCCGTTGAGGAAGGCCGATTTAACGTCCAAGTGATGGACGCGCCATTCCTTCTTTGCCGCCAAAGCAAGTAGCAACGGACCGACTCCATGCGCGCCATCTTGGCGCAAAGACCTCCTCGAAGTCGATGCCCTCATATTTGGACAAAGCCTCGATCGACGAGGCGCGCCTTTGTGCTTGACGATGGCGCCGAGCTCGTCCCTTTGACTTTGTACACCCACTTGGTGATCGGACGGCATCACGGGGTGGATCGACGAGCCGCCAAGTCTCGTTTTTCTCGATCGCCTTCATCTCCTCGGCAAAGATTGCCCGTCGCCGATTTCCATAGCGTTTCGGCTAGCGCTAACGTGGGTGGTTCCTCCGCGACCGACGAGTAGCAGCTACGTGTCGTTGAGCGACGCCGCCGCCCCGATCTGAGGGACTGTGCCGCCGACGATATCGCCCGACTGCGGAACCTCAACTCCTCCCTTCGTGGTAGGCGTCCACGAAGTCGGTGGTATCACTTGAGGTGAGACGAACTCGATCGGGGCGATGGAGTTCTTTTTCCGCCGGAGTGCCTCGCGATAGCACCCGAAGTGCTCGGCACTTCTTACGGATCGCCGTCATAACTCTGCGGTGTTCGGCCACACTGTAGGAGTGTCGACCTCGATCTTGGAGTGGTCGGTACCACAAGAAGACGCGTCTTGGCTCCTTCACGGAGTGCTTTCGGCACCGTCTGAAGTGGTCGCCACCCGCTGCAGAACCTCCGGCTCCACTCTGGCGTGCTCGGCATCCCTCCGAGTGCACGACACTCCTCCCGGAGTGCTCGGCATTGCTCCCGAAGTGCCTAAGCCTTTGCGTGGAAGTGCTCGACTCTACCGGCCGGAGTGCTCGGCGCTCCTCCCAGAGTGCGTGGCACTGTTCGCAGCTGTCTGCACCGCCGTGGATGACCAAGTGCTCGACGACGAAGGTTTTGGTGAAGCCTCCGCTTCCCGTGCTCGGACTGCTTCGATCCCAAAGCCGCCTCCTCGTTGAACACAACGTCGCGCGAGACGATCACCTTGTCTCCGCGAGGGTCATAGAGCCGGTGACGCCTTGGTACCTCCGCGAGCCTGGGAACACCATGGGTGTGCTCCTATCCTCCGGCTTGGTGAGGTTAAACCGTTTTTCCCGACGTGGTCGATGCAACCGAATGTCCGGAGGAATGACACGCGGCTTGCTTGCGCCCGTACCAAGCTTCGAACGGCGTCTTGCCCGTTAGGGCCTTGGTTGGAGCGCGGTTGAGGATGAACACCGCCGTGGTCACCGCCTCTCCCGTAACTTTGCGGCATCCCTTTGGCCTTCATCATGGATCGTGCCATGCCGACCATCGTCTGGTTCCGTCGCTCCACCACGCCATTCTCTGTTGTGGCGACACGGTAGCGGTGTGATGTTGCCCCACACCTTGATCCGCGCGAGACGTAGCAAACTCCACCAAGTGAATTCGCCACCCGATCATCCTCCTCGACACGGAGCTTCTTGCCGCTCTCGGCCCGCAGCGTCTTGAACTTCTTGATCGCCACCGCTGCGCCGTCCTTGCTTTCGTCGGGAGTTGCGACCACATGTAGCGATCGCAATCGTCCACGAAGCGGGAGGAAGTACCGCCACCACCGCATGTAGCAGCGTGATCGGCCCGCAGAGGTCGCCGTGAACTAGCTCGAGAGCTTTCTTCGCGCGATACTTGGCCGCCTTTGGGAAAGGTAGCCTCCTCGCTTCCCGTACAGCGGTATCACACACGCCTCGCGTGTTTGATGTGGGTAGCCCTCGGACCATCTTCCCCACCACCAAGCGCTGGCCGGTTGAGATGTCCGAACCGGGCATTTATATCCACGGCTCCTCGGAGTGCCTTGCCGCCAAAGTGAGCGGCCGCTGCTCTACCTTTAGGTCGAAAGCGGTACAACCGGTTCGAGGACCTCTTCACCTTGGTTAGAAGTCGCTGCTCGGTCTCTCGATCCTCGTAACGCCGCCCTGATCGAACCTCGCTACGGCGCTCATCCGGTGACCAATGCCGATGATCTTTGGAACGCATTGCTGCGGGATGGAGTGTACATCCGTTAACGCTTCGGTGCTCCCGTTCGGCATCGAAGATGATGGTGCCGCGCCCTTGGATGGCCACCCTTGAGCCGTCACCAAACTTCACCGCATGGGTAACATCACCGTCGAGCTCGGAGGAGTCCTTGAGCCCGTCATGTGGTTTCGGCACCGAGTCCGATACCACCGCGCTCGGTGGCGCCCACGCCCCGAGATGGATTTGGGCGCGTGGTTCGTCGAGGTTGACGGTCTTCGTGGCCTTGCTAGATCCTTCCACCGTTGTCGCCTCTCCCTCTCCATGGCCTCGGCGTAAATGCGGTGGCGCGTAACGCCGCCATAAGGATAGTGGCCTCATCCTCATCATCGGCTTACGCCAAATGAGTCTGAGCCTTCTTTTCCTGCTTGCGATTTGGGCACTCCTGTGCCCAATGGCCCATCTTCCCAACAACACCGATAAACGCGTTGAGTCGATTTGCTTCTTCTCCGAAGAAGCCCCGCCGCGATGTTTGCTGTTGCCACCGCGATCGGAGGAGGCCGCCTTCCGGAGTTTCGCCGAGCGGCCCCTCCTCTTCCGTCGCCAGGAGTTTCCGGTGTCTTCGTTGCTATCGCCTTTGCTCCAGCGCCGGCCCACCACCGCCAGCAGACGGCACGCCACATCCTTGATGGTGAGGGTGGACAAGTCCAAAGATCGTCTCTATGGAGAAAGCGATCCGGATGTACTTTGCCAAAGACGGAGTGGAGGAATTTGGAGACCGCCTCCTCTTCGCCGTCGATGTTGACGCTGTGGCTCTTGACTTGCGATGGCGTCCTCAGAGGCGGAGGCAAAGTCCTCCTCCTTTGTTTTACCATCCTTGAACTTGAGGTTTGCGTACTCATCGCTTGTAAGCCGGCCGTCGCCTTCTTTGCGCGGTCGGAACCGACAGCGCATCACCGCAATAGCCCCACGCCTCCTTAGCCGAGCTTTTCGTCCCCAACGGTTCCTCAGACTCACGCAGACAAAGAGCGATGATAGCCTCCAACGCCGACATGTCGTTTTCTTCCCGTCGGTGCCCATGTCAGCAAAACATTCCGAGCCGCCGAGCTCGAGCTTGACCTTCATGGTCACCGACCACTCTCCATAGTTAGTGCGAGTAAGCGTCGGCCAAGTGGTGCCACCGACCTTCCGCACGCAGGCGGACAACTACCTCCGGTAGTGGTCTGGCTATGGCGACAAGTTACTGCGCCGTCGCTTAACTCCAAACCGCTTTGTCATCACCATCGGTTAGAATGACGACGGCCTTGTACGAGACTCTGATACCACTTGTTGACCTACGGGATCACCGGCTGACGACAGTGAACTAGTCTCCAGACCACTAGTCTCCAGACCACTAGTCTCAGACCCCTGGCCTCCAGACCACTAGTCTCAGACCCCTGACCTCCAGACCACTAGTCTCCCAGACCACTAGTCGTGCCGACCACCGTACCGGCTTTGTCCGTACCCACACACTACGGATCGAGCTAGAAGAAGGGAGAACAGAGCAAGCACGCACAATACAAGACAACAACGTTGGCCGAGGCCCTGTCTGTGTGATGGCAAATCTGAGATCTCTTTACTGAGTTGCCTTGATGCCTTATTTATACAACTCTATCTATCTAACTAAAGTACAACGCACATGTCGAATAAATAACTAGATAAGCATCTGGGGTGACTCTGCGCATGCCCTTTGCATGTGCCTAAAGGTCTTCTTTGGTGAGCGAGGCAGGGCGCCACACTGCTGTGACTGCTCTGATATCACAAAGAGGGGCAAAGTCGGCGCCGCCTTCCTCTACTGTGTTCACACAAGGTGGCAGTAGATTAGCTAACACAAAATGCTTCATATAGTACAGTGTGCGCACACAAGGAATTAATTCTTTTATTGATTTATTGATTTTCAAATAGGATTTTCAGATATGGGGCATCGCCCAGAAATATCTTAAACTACTGTCCAGAATTCGATACAGTGACAAGGCATCTCAGCAACTTAATGGCATTTATATTGATGGTCTGGACCTGGATGATTGCTCTTGGTGAAAGGAGGGAGGAGAGATGCGCAGCTAGATTTGATGCTACTGGCCATGGTTAGTTATATTGTTCTCATGAGAAATTCAGTGCGAACTGTAGTCTAGTCTCCTAGCTCGATGCTTTTATTCCAGATACTGTATGCCATTTTAGTGGGTATAGTTAACATCAAGCAAGCAACAACAAAGAAACTAAGGAAAAGAGTTTTGAGCTTCAAGATAAACCCCAATTAGATAAAACAAGTCAAATACTGTAGTTACTAAAACACGTTGACAGACAACTTGAGCCGTGATTAGTTGAACACTAAAGGCATAAAGAATACTTTCCAGTGTTTTGACTAAAAAGCACGGACAAAATACAAGGCATGTAGCAGTTCAATTTGCAGTGGCGAACTTACCAGAGCATTGGCCACGTCCATTGCAATCTGTAGCCTTGTCTGCCAGCTTAACGGCTTCCTTCCAGATGCTGCAGTATTTCAAATAAGAACACATAAGAGAAGTTCAAATATATGTTTTGCACATAGACAAGATTTGAAACAAATGAGAACACACAGTGCAGGTGATCTTTTAGACTTCCGTTCGCCATGTATTCATACACAAGAAACCTGAAAGGTTCAAATGTAAGCCCTCATGTCACTACATATTACTTAGAATACGCAATGATGATAAGGAAAGAACATTACCTTTCTTTCTTTTCAATACAGAAGCCCTTGAGGGTCACGAGATGGCGATGATGCAACCTAGCCAAGAGTTCCATTTCTCTACAGAACTCTTCTTCAGCTTGTTTTGAAACCTTATCCATCCTTTTCACCGCAGCTATAGAGCCATCATTGAATTGAGCTTTACAGACAGTTCCAAATCCTCCCTTTCCAATAACTGTGCTGAAATTATCCGTTGCTTTCATTGTTTCTTTAGCTGTACCTTTGGAACATTGGTGATTGGCCTGAACAAGGTAAACAGAGTGGTTTGGATCAAAGACAAAGGTAAAATAAGACAGTCTGCTTGTTTTTTCTTTCTCTACCATACAATAGGTTCAGCAAAAGTAGATCAGTCAATGCTCGACATTAGATATAACAGACAGTTTTTGTTATTATTTGTTAGTGCTTCCTGCAACAAGCTTGATGCCCATGGCAACATTACATAAGAACTGGAAAATAATGAGCTTATCAGTTTACAATATACATGAATGATGAGACAGCGAACGCAGAGACAATCATAGCTTATGTAGAAAGGAAGCATGTTCACAAACCATCGGGCATCTCCAGGATTGATTGTGGTGAAATGTGTTATCTGGATTCGAGCAGGAAATTCAGCATTCTTCAATTCCCTGCTCTTTCTACTTAATCAGGACCACTAAGATGATTTGCAGCAGCACAGCAAGCAATATAACACCGATTCCTATCGCTGGAATAACTGTAATCCTGTAGTGTTGCTGATGTTTCTGTGGAAGACTCTTGATATTTGGAGCCGGAGAATCAACAGTGACATTTGGAGAGGATGCTGGGGTTGATGTGACAGATGCTGGTCCTGGTGTGCTCCCAGAGTTAGACAAAAATCACAGGGTGTGGGTGGTCAAGAATTGAACATAGTCAAAATGCAGTATAACAGTAACAATACCTGGAAATGTGGTGATTCCCTGGACACCAAAGAAGCACTTGACGATATCTTCGTATGAAAGAATACCCTCTTGAGTCGCAAGCGTTACAAAAACCGCGTTGCGGCACACACTCAGGCCAACATTATCGTCTGAACCGATGAGGCGATGGAGGTACACGATGCCATAATTCAAGCAAGTCTTACAGGTGATATCCAGCGACAGAGGGCCCCTGCAGCTCCCGATAACGTCGTTGAAGTTCGGGGACTGCATCACCTCCAGCACGGTATCCCGCCCAGCGCACTGATACGAGACCCTTATCTTGGGTCCCAGCCCGCAGAAGACATCGGCATCGGTGGGGATCCCCCGCAGCTTGAACGTCTCGGACACCGAGCTGAGACAGATCTCCGCAAAGGCAGGAGGGACCCCCAGCCTGCCGGTGGCATTGGCGTAGCGAGCAATGGAAATGGCAAGGAACGCATTGATGTAGCGGCAGCATGCCGCCCGCTGGGTCGGATCAGAGCAGGCAGCCGCAGCTAATGTGAAGTTTGCCCAGCTAAAATCCAGAGGGCAATCTGTGGAAGAAGAAAGGAAGTCGCTGCTTTTAGTAAGGGCCTAATGATAGGTAAGGTATAGGACACGCACAAATTGGGTAAAATCAATGTTTACTGCCCCACTGCCTTATCGCCTCCGTTGGGCAATCCGCATTGACTCAACTACAAGGTCAGCGAGGGGGATAAAATGTGTGGTTTTTCCTATAAAGATGCTGTTTTTATGCGATCGTCCAGCATAGGAGCTCATAGCAAGCTCGTCCTAGGATGAATCAAATCGGACACATACGAGTAGCATGGAAAAGCAAGTGCGGGTCACTATGTAGATCATATACATCCTACAATAACCATTGCATTCTGATCCCCAAACATCCAGGAACAAACACTATCACGGGAGGATCACAAACAGTGCGATTTATTCATCAAATGCAACGCAATAGATGAGGAGAGAAGGAAGGGGCTGACCTCCGACGGCGGTTGCTGCGGGGCTCGGGGAGAAGAAGAGAGGGGAGGAGGCGAAGAGCGATAGGATGAGTAGCAAGGGAACGGGGGAGGACCAGCGGCGTAGGGGCAGCGCCGGCATTTGGAGGCGGCGCGGGGGAGTGGAGCGGGGAGGCGGCGGAGTGGAGTGGAGAGTGGAGTGGGGAAGGGGACGAAGAGGGGTTTTGGATCGCTGGGGCGGCGGCTGGTGCGAGCGACAATGATTTGTTTTTCGCGTTGCTTCCGGCGTACGAGTAGTAGAGTAGACCGCGGGTGGTGGATGTCGCGTGGTGGCTCCCCTCCCCACCTCCCCTGGGGTTCTGTAGCGTCGCCCACCACCCTAGGCACGGCAGCCTGCCCTGCTGCTCCCCTCCCCTCCGTCACAGACTCATTCACAGCTCACGTGAGGACATGAGGCTGCCTTTCTTGCTCACTGCTCCACATCAAGTTCAGCAATAACAGATGTGGCTGATTTGGGCCATGTTTATTTTCACCGGATTCCAAACTTTGACACTATACAAAAAGAAGATTTCCCATCACATCAAACTTGTGGTACATATATGGAGTACTAAATGATGACGAAATCAAAAACTAATTGTACAGTTTGATTGTACTTTACGAGACGAACGTTTTGAGCCTAATTAGTCAATGTTTGAACAATTATTACCAAATACAAACGAAATGCTACAAGACGCTACAGTGTCTACTGATTTCCAGCGGCGCCGATTCCGGCCGGAACTAAACGCGGCCTTGTACTTATTTGTACGGGTAATTTATTATGAGAGAAAAATATTGTACCATAGCTGAGCCGGCTTATAATAACAGCCGAACACAGCCATAACCATCTACAGGTACACCCTACACAAAAAATAGTACTCATACTCCTACTTGACGTATCATGTGTGTTTTCTTCTTCTTCTTCTTCTTCCTTAAAAAGTGTCTACCATCAAATTCCAACCAACCATTTGCACACAATTTATAAGGGTGATAATTATTGGAAGTTGATGCGGAAGTTTTGTTGGTCTTTTTAACTCCGTAGAAATAATGTGACATTAAAAAATTACACTCCTTTGTAAGTTATTTTCGGAGCAGTCTATTGGGCACGTTTAGAGTACCTTGCAGGAGAGCAATACACTGTACTAACTTCTAAAGTGGGCTTGTCATGTGTCGGAGATTAGATGCTATGGTTGTGGAGATCTTCGTCCGACAAGGATGGTTGTCTTTTTAGGAGGAATTGATGTATAAGTAGCCGCTCATTCGCTTGTTTTTTTTTAAACATACGGAGGCCAGAACTTAATGAGGATTGGTTTTGTGCAAGACTATTATAGGGGTCAGAATAAAAATCTAATTTTTATAAATAAAAGCGCTTAATTTAGAGAAAGGGATGCATTCTACCTAGGATAACAAGCTATATAGACTGAAGAACGGAAGATGGCACAAAGAATCGCTTCAAAAGTAGCGGAGAAATTTGGAAAGGGAAGATTTGATGAAGGGTACAGACATTAGTCAGTGGCGGAGGTGTTGATCAGGAAATTACTAAAAGTGAAGAAGGTGAGGGGAGATGGTGGTGGGTGTGGAGTGCAGAGATAGGAAGCAGAGAGGAGAATTGAAGGGGAAGGAATTCCAACGCCTGCGTTATTTTCTTTATACACACTTTCGTCGATTATCACCGAAAAAAAAACATCACCATTCAAATCTAAAAAATATGAGCACTGACATTTAAATCAAGTACTTAAATTCGAATAAATAGATTCTGCCACAGGGACGTAACCAGCTGAGCTACACTCAACTCATAGTGCAATGACACGGTATTATTTGAGCACTTTGTTAGTTGCGGTGAGAATTTAAGACCAGTCAGTGGTCACCAATGCAAGCAGACAACAACCTAATTTGAATACTATTCCTACTACTCGTGCTCATATCGTGGCTTTTCAGGCTGGTTGGTTGACGCCGCATGCTTACATGGTCCATACATATATATACCCGTACACATGAATGACACATTCAGAAAGGAACAGTGCAGAGCAGAGGAGAGGAGACGGAGGAACAAGAAGATGATACGTACGTACGAGTAGGATGATGCGTGATGACAGATACGTACACCAGCTTTGCAGGGAGTACTTTGAGTCTGAACTGTAGTTGCATTATACGGTTGGAGCTAATTAGGGAGGGCTATTTTGTCTTATTTTGCTCGGTTTGAAAATTTTACAGAGTAACTTCACATAAATCAGTTTAATTTCGTATGTGAAAATTTCCTACGTTCCAGTCTAATTTCGTTAAAATTCTTACGTCACAGTATCTTCACATAAAACCAGTCTAATTTGGTTAAAGTTCTTACGCTCCAAGCACGGCCTTACCTCACAATCCGAGGCTCATACGAACAAATGTAGCGCTAGATTGTACTACAACACTGTTGGAACTATCCTAATAAGATTACCTACAGAGTACAGAACCAACGCAAACTGCTTGCTTCTTACTACTACAACCTCAACCTGTAATAGGCAGGTAACTGCATATGTACCGCGGGAGATTGCTGAGTTAAAGGACGGTACGGTAGAGGATTAGAATGACAGGGGATCGAGGTGCCTGCTGCTTGTAATTAAGCTTCTTTTTGTTCAGCACATCATCAGCGCTGCACATGCATGCCACCCGTCCACTTCATCATCAGATAATAATCCGAGAGATGCAGAAATGGCGGATGGAGAGAGGCAGCAGAGCAATGCATTGCCAGAACAGCAGCACGCTGCCCCTACCCAACATACACCCCACCAAGGCACTAGAATATATATGTTTGCTTGCTGTTGTCGTTTCTCCCTCTGGCCTTGCTACCCTGAACTGAATACATATAATTCCGGAATGAATTGAATCCACCCGGGCCTGAATCTGATCACATGCATATATGACTATACATCGTCTGATCCTGGCCTCTTGGGTTAGTTGGGTTCGATTTCGTTGGAATTGGAACAGGGGACTAGGGATAACTAAGGCCCTATTCGCGTGTCCTTAAACCCGGCTTGATCTGCTTTTTTTTTCATCCATGTCGGTGTTTCGGACCGGGAGGTCCTCAACCAACCAGTGAATTTGTTCTGCGTGCTCCCGATCCGGATGGTGATGTAAAGAGACACAAGGTTTATACTGGTTCAGGCAATCGATGCCCTACTTCCAGTCTGAGAGATCGATCTTGTATTCCTTGCACCGAGGTACTCGTAGTAGGGGGTTACAAGCTAAAGGAGAGAAGGAGCTGGTCCTAGGTCTCGGCAGGGTGCCGTGCGGGCCGCTTGAGACGTTGCTCTCCGGTGGCAGGAGTGTGCGTGTGTGTTACAAGGTGTTCTCCCCCTTAAAACAACCCAGGTCCTCTCCTTTTATAGCATGAAGGGAGGACTAGGGGTACATACATGAGTGACTATACGGCGTCGTGTGAACAGAGGCGGCGTGTCCGGGCCCTGTAGCCTATTCCTGTGGCGGTGTGGCCGTCGGAGTGGTCCGTCCTTGGAGCACTAGGGCGACGTGGCTGGCCCCATCGATCTCAGGCGCCGTGGGAGCCCGGGATCGCCTTGGAGTGGGGGCGCGGCGGTGGGCGTGCAAGCCCTTCGTGGACGGATGCTTGTGAGGCCGAGACTTGGTCGGTGTCGAAGGCGCACCATGGTGGAAGGGTCTCGGCAGCACGATCCCCAAGATGGCCGAGACCTTGGGTATGCGGTGTGCGAGGCCTCGAGTGGGCGGGTGATCGTGGGTGCAGTGTTAGGACACAAGTGGCCGGTAATTCCCGCCGCATTCTGTCCCGGCCGGTATGGCGCAGATCGTGAATCTGATGTTAGGACACGGTGGCGGTAATCCCCGCCAGCATTCTCGTCTCAAATGCAGTATGATACTGATGCGACCTTGGGTCGCGTCGGCCATTCCGTGGCGTTGAGCCGTCGTCCATTGAGATTGCGGGAGTGGTTGAAGCATTAATGGGACATGACACGTTGTCCGGAGGGTCGGTCGAGGCGGGGGTGATTTGGTCATGCAGGCGACCCGGCCTCGAGCGACACGGAGAATGAGGCCTCGCATGCGAGACGGAGATCAGGTTACTTGCCGAGGCCTTGCGCGAGACGCCTCGCGACACGGAGAATGTACCCTCACCGAGGCCTTTCCTGAGAGAGCCTCGGGCGAGATTTGAGACGGCGCCCCGCCGAGGCCTACCACTGGGAGCCTCACGCGAGGCGGAGTTTGTTCCGAGACCTCCTGCTCGAGGCTCGAGGCGAGGTGGAGGAGGGCTCGGTCGTGGCCGGTGAGGGGCCCACGGCTTACCTTCTAGCTTTATTTTGATGTTTGCTTGGGGTACCCCGTTCTAAGGTACCCGACAGTAGCCCCCGAGCCTCGGGGTGAGTGCGTGCACTCTCCCTGAGGGTTCATCGAGGCTGGGTTTATGCCTGCTCCGTAGGAATTGGTTTGTTTTCTGAGGTTCCGGTGGGTGCGCGCGAGTGCACCCGCCGGGTGTAGCCCCCGAGCCCCTGGAGGAGTGAAGTTACTCCTCCAGGGGCTTTCTCCATTTTCGCGTTTGAGTGATCAGTTCTTATTGCATTTGCCGAGCCCATAAGCGCAAGTTCGGGTTGCGGGGGTCTCGGCGAGGTTGCAAAAAAAAGGCCCTCTAGCCTCCGTATGGAGCGAGAGGTTCGTCAGGGGTCCCCCTGATGTTGGGTATGTCCCTCACGCTTCCTTTCGCTCGGAAGGAGGGGTGGAATGTGCCATGCTACCATCGATGGGCGCGAGCGTGGACACTTTCAGTGAGCTGTTATCGGGTAGTCCGAGTGGAGGCCCGAGCCCCATTCGCTAGGGGACGGCTAGCGGTCCAGAGACGCACTCCAAAAGTACCGGAGGATTTCTCTAGTGGGTGCCGAGGCCGTTCGCTGGGCCTCGGTGGCTCGGTGCCTCCCTACGGTGGGATCCCATTCGGATACTTTCCTGTCGGTCTCGGACACGACTTAGGATGCCCCGAGCGACTGTTCGTTCGGGTCTGGGCCATTCGTAGGCTCGCCCCGAAGTTGTCCCTGACTCTGTTGCCCTGGGGCGGCTGTCGAAACCTCTTAGAGGCCCAGCCTTCGAACCCCTGGACCGTAA